AACATCAGCAGTTCCCCCGCTCTGCCCCCACCTGTTCCTCCACAGCCCCCCACCCCCTGGCTGCACTCCCTGCCACCGCGACCTTAAATAGCTGTGTAGGTAGGCTCAGGCTCCTCCACGCGCTGTCCTACCGCCGCTCCCCGTGTGGGATTATTATGACACCCTTCACACAGAATAACACCTAGGAGCACAGCCCATTGGTAGAATTGCACCCGGAGCAAGGGAGATAGTGAGGTGACCATTCAGAGTGAGAGTTCTAGAAAGTGACTGAAAGCTCTGACATCCTATCTACTGCAGATCCACGAAGCAACATCAATATATAAACTTAATCCATTATCCAGCAAGCAAACGTAAGGTCTTTTATTAACAAAAATAGAAGTCGCTGGGAACGTATTTTGCATTAGGTCTTTTATTAACACTGACTACAGTATGAGTTTCACTATGATTAACTATGCCTCTCACATACTTTGTGTTCAGCCCTCACCAGGAATACAGGATGAACCAAATAAACACATTCAATGGCTGTAATTCTCTCTCTTTCCCTTCCCCACTTCCAATTATGGTACAATAAAATACAATTTACATTTATATAGCACTTTTCATGTTGGGAGGACATCACAGGCGCTTAACACTATTGGCATGACACCCGGGCTGTGGATGGGAGCTGAGGGGGATAAGGAGGGGAGAGATAACCAAAGCTTGCATTTATAATACATAGCGTTCTTCCACCCAGCAAATAGGGAGATGACCAGAGAACAGGGAGATGACCAGAGACAAATATGGAGAAGGAAGGGGAAAACTAATGATTCTGACCGGATATGTTCTTAGGAGGGAGAGATGGAGCACAAGCAGGTTTTGGAAGAGGAACGTAGCGACTGAAGATACAGCAATCAATGGTGGGACAATGAAGTGAGGATTGAGCAACGGACCAGAATAGTAGGGACTGAGGGCAAGACAATAGGGCTGGAGAAGATTGTATACATAGAGAGAGAGAGAGAGAGAGAGAGGAGTTGAAATGGTCAATGTAAGAATCTTAAAAGTCAATGCGCTGGGATACTGAGAGCCAGCGGAGCTTGGCAAGGATGGAAGTAATGGGTTGGAAAGTCTATCCTTAAAGTGACTGAAGCATAAATGAGGATATCAGCAAGCAGAAGGGATGAGGTTAGAGTCACTTGATTCCACTAGCTCCCCAACACTCGGAGGATACAGTTCATGATCCTGGTCCTCACTTTCAATACCCTCCACGACCTTGCTCCGCCCTATCTCTGGGACCTCCTAACACTATACCAAACTGCCCGCTCCCTATGCTCAGAGGGTTCCGACCTGCTTCTCATTCCCCCGCCTTGCCTGCCCCACCATTGGTCAGCGGGCCTTCAGCCTCTCTTCCCCACATCCTGGAACTCCATCACAGTCATTCCACCTCGCCCCCTCCCTTGCCTCCTTCAAGATCTGTCTGAAATCCCTCCTCTTCGGTCATCCTCCTACCCTCCACACTCCCCAGTCTTGACCCCCAGCTCGGTTCAAAATCTCTGACTGTCCATCGCCTTGGGAAGTCCTCCCAAAAGGTGCTATACAACTGTTATTTTGTATTTTGTATTTGTGTACAGATAGGAATGTGAAACCATTATCCTGATTTAACATTCCCCTTTAATAACAAAAGAATCCTTCTGTAGGCCAATATTCAGGAAGCAACAGCACAAATGATAAATACTTATCGGATTCGTTCACACAAAACATGGCCCGTTAACAGTCTTTTCAGGCTGCAGCAACTATTTTGCAAATGAGTCGATTGAAGGGCCAGACAAAATTCTGATTTTGTATGCTAATCCGGGACACGCATGACAAAAATCACTGTTTCTGCTCGATTCCAACAGACTGCCAAGAAACAGAAAGTGAAACTTATTTATTATTTCTGCCAAGGAGTAAACTGTGTTAATCTTTGTTTTAAAGCTGTGAAATCTCCAGTGCAGTGTTATTTTTTTTACACAAACGCACACACAGGGGAGCATGTACCATGAAAACCAGCCCACACGTCTGTGTTGTGTGACTGTGAGAGAATTAATTTTATGGTACACGTTTTGATGCTGCCTCTTTGTCACGTTTAAATTAATTTCTAGACCGAGCTGACCTGTTTAAGAACAGCTTTCAAATATTCAGGTGTTTCGCTTTGTGCAATGGTCAATGGTATGTGATAGTTCACGGTCGATTCTATAAGTATCATTTTTATAAGCATAATTTAGTATATCATGAGTTTAGCTTCTTCACTAACATCTCCACGCCCTTCCCCTCACCATACCAAACACAGTTAACAAGAGAGTACATTCTTTCTGATCAGCCTGTGTTCCCTCTCAAACAATAAAAGCTAAAAAATAATTAGCTCCTAGCTTTTGATACATCGTTCAAACACATCTTCCTCCAAAACCTAGGTTACCAGCTCAGAATAGTGTTATTGAAACTTGGTGCTATTGCTGATAACAATAAATGACGTTCACGCTAGTCAATGTCCAGTTTACTTTACGCTGGGCTTAAAAACATCATCACATTCCAATCCTCTGTTCTCGAGAAACACTGGCAACACAGACCTGGATTCAGAGGGAGGAGACTGTCCTTGTCTGGAGGATTTTTTTGCAAAACTCAGGGTTTTCCAGCACAACAGCAAACAACAACAGGCCCTGTGCTATCTTAAGAGTCCTACAATAGTTCCATCTCCACTGCACGCAAAGCCCCCGAACTACCCATAATGTTTAACTCATGCATCGTTCCTGAAGATTCTATTAAGTTGCTAAAATACAGAAATCTGTTCTTTTTGCTGCATGTGAAGTGAGCTGATTTGAGTACAAAGTCAAGACGCTCGGTGCTGTGTGGATTCTTACCTCTGTCACTTTGCCACTGGATAGTCAAGGAGTTGCAAAGAAATGTGACTGAGGCAAGTGTCCACACAGTACGGAGGCATCCTCCCAACGTGAAAGGCGCCATATAAATGCAATGTAATATATTTGTTGTTATTTTGGAGCGTCCGCCTAGTCACCGATTTCAGGGGATGGTGATATGAAAACATTTACACTACGTAGTTTTAAACTGCTTTTTTTTGGTGAAATGTGGGGAAGGATGACACTGGTGAAAGATTCTTAAGTCTGATCTGCACTTTCCCTCTGGACTTCCCTTACATTTTGTGTATTTTTTTAAAAAGCCTCTGATGTGACCAATTTCTCAGGAAGCTAAAATTTATTTTACATCAATAAAGCAGGAGCTTTGTGCCCAGACTTGTGGACTGGGCATCAAATGTCGAGCTGATGAGAAGATCCACATTTAGTACAGTACAATTTTGCCCACAAAATATACAGTCAATTCACTTTACAGTATATTCTGTAAAACGCTTTGAGACGCCCCCAAAATGTGATAAAGCGCTATATCAAATGCAAGGATTATTATTATTATACACAGCTCCTAAATTCTTAAGATTCCTTCCTGATCCCAGCGCCTTGGGACGACCTCCCAACATGAAAGGCACTTTGCAAATGTAATCTGTTTTTGTTGTTGATCCCACCTCAGTACATGACACACACACATATACTGAATACACAGTATATACACACACACATACGTACACAGTGCAAGCAAAGTCTCAGTCTGCCTCTGATCACACACCTTCTACTGGCGAACAAGTCAGCCAGACAGACACTAACAAATAGGCAGATACAGACAGACAGACAGACAGAGAGATACAGACAAATAGGCACAGACAGACAGACATAGACAGATACATGCAGACAGAGACACAGACTGAGACACACACAAATAGACGCAGACACATAAACAGACAGAGACACAGACAGACAAACACAGCAAAGAAGAGTTTAGCACAGCAGAGGCCGCCAGCCATGTGTTTGATTGTTTCTTTCCAAAGCTAGGATTGCTTTACTAGCCACAGACACACACAGGCAGACACACACACACAGGCAGACACACACACACAGGCAGACACACACACACACAGGCAGACACACACACACACACACAGGCAGACACACACACACACACACAGGCAGACACACACACACAGGCAGACACACACACACACAGGCAGACAGAGGCAGACACACACACACAGGCAGACACACACACACAGGCAGACACACACACACACACAGGCAGACACACACACACACACACAGGCAGACACACACACACAGGCAGACACACACACACACAGGCAGACACAGGCAGACACACACACACAGGCAGACCACACACACACAGGCAGACACACACACACACACAGGCAGACACACACACACACAGGCAGACACACACACACACACACACAGGCAGACACACACACACAGGCAGACACACACACAGGCAGACACAGGCAGACACACACACAGGCAGACACACACACACACACACAGGCAGACACACACACACACACACACAGGCAGACACACACACACAGGCAGACACACACACACACAGGCAGACAGAGGCAGACACACACACACAGGCAGACACACACACACACACACACACACACACACACGGGCAGACTTTCACACACACACACACAGGCAGACACACACACACACACGCAGACACACACACACACACAGGCAGACACACACACACACACACACACACACGGGCAGACTTTCACACACACAGGCAGACACACACACACACACACAGGCAGACAGAGGCAGACACACACAGGCAGACACACACACACACACAGGCAGACACACACACACACACAGGCAGACATACACACACACACACACAGGCAGACACACACACACACACAGGCAGACACACACACACACACAGGCAGACACACACACACACACACAGGCAGACACACACACACACACAGGCAGACACACACAGACAGAGGCAGACACACACACACACACACACAGGCAGACACACACACAGGCAGACACACACACACACACAGGCAGACACACACACTGACACACAGACACAGCCCCATGGAAACCTACCGTCCACAGCCTCCCTGTCGCTGATGTGCTGCAGGTTGCAGCCCGTGTCCTCGCGGCTGATGTCGGTGTCTGTGCGGTAGGTCTCCAGCCGAGCGTGGTTCCTCCTCAGCTTAGGGCTGGAGGACACGCAGCAAGAAGTGGTATTCCCCATCGCTTCTCCTCCTGGGCTTTACCGTCTGTCTGTGTGTGTGTCTGTCTGTGTGTGTGTCTCGCAGTTCAATTAATCGCCAGATGGCGTGGTGTGGGGGTGTGGGTGGGGGAGTGGTGTGGGAGTGGTGTGTGTGTGGTGTGGGGGGGTGTGTGTGGTGTGGGAGTGATGTGGGGGTGGGGGTGTGTGTGTGTGGGGGGGGTGGGTGGGGGTGTGTGTGTGGGGGGTGGGTGGGGGGTGGTGTGTGTGTGGGGGTGTGTGTGTGTGGTGTGGGGGTGTGGGGTGGGGGGGGGTGTGGGGTGTGTGTGTGTGGTGTGGGGGGGGGTGGGGGGGTGGTGTGTGGGGGTGTGTGTGTGGTGTGGTGGGGTTGTGGGGGTGGTGTGTGTGTGGGGTGTGGGGGTGTGTGTGTGTGGTGTGGGGGGGGTGGTGGGGGGGGTGTGGTGGGGGGTGTGGGGGTGGTGTGTGTGTGGGGGTGTGTGTGTGTGGTGTGGGGGTGGTGTGGGGGGGGTGTGGGGGGGTGGGGGGTGGGGTGGGGGGGGGTGTGTGTGTGGGGTGTGGGGGGGTGTGGGGGTGGTGTGTGTGTGGGGTGTGGGGGGGTGTGTGTGTGGTGTGGGGGGGTGTGGGGGTGGTGTGTGGGGGGGGTGTGGGGGTGGGGTGTGGGGGGGTGTGTGTGTGGTGGGGGGGGTGTGGGGGTGTGTGTGTGTGGTGTGGGGGGGGGTGTGGGGGTGGTGTGGGGGGGGGTGGGGTGTGGGGGGTGTGTGTGTGGTGTGGGGGGGGTGTGAGGGGGGGTGTGTGTGTGGTGTGGGGGGGGTGTGGGGGTGGTGTGTGTGTGGGGTGTGGGGGGGTGTGTGTGGGGTGTGGGGGGGTGTGTGTGTGGTGTGGGGGGGGTGGGGCGGTGGTGTGGGGGTGGTGTGTGTGTGGGGTGTGGGGGGGTGTGTGGTGTGGTGTGGGGGGGTGTGTGGGGGGGGGTGTGTGTGTGGGGTGTGTGTGTGTGGTGTGGGGGGGTGTGGGGGGGTGGAGAGAAAGGAATCAGGTGCTCTTCTAATTCAGATCCACAGGGCGCGGGACTTGCTTTTTTTGCAAAAAAAAGTCCACCACCCGCCCCCCAAACAACACAATAAATGTGTGTGATTTACAGATCTCCCCTCAGCCGACAGGACCTGTCACTGCACACACACTGCCCCGAGACACCCATCTGCATCTCACAGCCCCCACCCGGGGCTGCCCCCTGGGCTGGGCTGTGCGTGCTGGGCTGTGGCGGGCTGTGGCTGTGGTGGCTGTGCTGGGGCTGGCTGTGGCTGTGCTGGCTGTGCTGGGGCTGGCTGTGGCTGGGCTGTGCTGGCTGTGGCTGTGGTGGCTGTGCTGGCTGTGGCTGTGCTGGCTGTGGCTGTGGTGGCTGTGCTGGCTGTGGCTGGGGCTGGCTGTGGTGGCTGTGCTGGCTGTGGCTGTGCTGGCTGTGGCTGTGCTGGCTGGGGCTGGCTGTGGCTGTGGTGGCTGTGGTGGCTGTGCTGGCTGTGGCTGGGCTGGCTGTGGCTGGGGCTGGCTGTGGCTGTGGTGGCTGTGGTGGCTGTGCTGGCTGTGGCTGGGGCTGGCTGTGGCTGTGGTGGCTGTGCTGGCTGTGGCTGGGCTGGCTGTGGCTGGGCTGGCTGTGGCGGGGCTGGCTGTGGCGGGGCGGGCTGTGGCTGGGCTGGCTGTGGCGGGGCTGGCTGTGGCTGTGCTGGCTGTGCTGGGGCTGGCTGTGCTGGGGCTGGCTGGGCTGTGCTGGGGCTGGCTGTGGCTGGGCTGTGCTGGCTGTGCTGGCTGTGGCTGTGGTGGCTGTGCTGGGGCTGGCTGTGGCTGTGCTGGGGCTGGCTGTGGCTGTGGTGGCTGTGCTGGGGCTGGCTGTGGCGGCTGTGCTGGGGCTGGCTGTGGCTGTGCTGGGGCTGGCTGTGCTGGGGCTGGCTGTGGATGGGCTGTGCTGGCTGTTGCTGGGCTGGGCTGTTGCTGGGCTGGCTGGCTGTGGCTGGCTGTGCTGTGGCTGGCCTGTTCTGGGCTGGCTGTGGCTGGCCTGTTCTGGGCTGGGCTGGGCTCTGGCTGGGCTGGGCTGTGGCTGGGCTCTGGCTGGGCTGGCTGGGCTCTGGCTGGGCTGGCTGGCTGGCTGGGCTCTGGCTGGGCTGGCTGGCTGGGCTGTGGCTGGGGCTGGCTGGGCTGGCTGGCTGGGCTGTGGCTGGGCTCTGGCTGGGCTGGCTGGCTGGGCTGGGCTGTGGCTGGGCTCTGGCTGGGCTCTGGCTGGGCTGGCTGGCTGGGCTGTGGCTGGGGCTGGCTGGCTGTGCTGGCTGGGCTGGGCTCTGGCTGTGCTGGGCTGGCTGGCTGGGCTGGCTGGGGCTGGCTGGCTGGGCTGGCTGGCTGGCTGGGCTGTGGCTGGGCTCTGGCTGGCTGGCTGTGGCTGGCTGGCTGGGCTGTGGCTGGGCTCTGGCTGGGCTGGCTGGCTGGGCTGTGCCTGGGCTGGCTGGGCTGGCTGGGGCTGGCTGGCTGGGCTGGCTGGCTGGCTGGGCTGTGCCTGGGCTGGCTGGCTGGGCTGTGGCTGGCTGGGCTGTGCTGGGCTCTGGCTGGCTGGCTGGCTGGGCTGTGGCTGGCTGGCTGGCTGGCTGGCTGGCTGGGCTGTGCTGGCTGGCTGGGCTCTGGCTGGGCTGGCTGGCTGGGCTGTGCCTGGGCTGGCTGGCTGGGCTGTGGCTGGCTGGGCTGTGGCTGGCTGGCTGGGCTGGGCTGTGGCTGGCTGGGCTGTGCTGGCTGTGGCTGGCTGGGCTGGGCTCTGGCTGGCTGGGCTGTGCTGGGCTGTGGCTGGCTGGCTGGGCTGGGCTGTGCTGGGCTCTGGCTGTGCTGGGCTGGGTTGTGCTGTGGTGTCTGGTCTAGTCTGTCCCAGTCAGACTCCCTCCTGCAACCCAGAGGCACCAGACACAGTCTTCAACAAGCCATACACACATAGAAAGAAAGAACTACTTTGTATATACAGTATATCCTTTTTTTCTTACACACAACACACACACAAAGAGGAAAATGGGGGGAGGGGGGATGGGGGAGCAAACAGATGCCACTCGTCACTGAAGTCCCAGCTTTGCAATACCAACAGCTTCAGCTTCCAGATCAGATCAAATCTCTCCACCCTTCCTGCTGGGGATCTGTCTCTCTGTGTATCCCCCTCTCTCTCTCTCTCTCTCTGTCTGTCTCTCTTTCTCTGTCTGTCTCTCTCCCTCTGTGTGTGTCTCTCTCTCTCTCTCTGTCTCTCTCCCTCTGTGGTGTGTGTCTCTCTGTCTGTCTCTCTCCCTCTCTGTGTGCAATGGTGACTTTTTTGTAATGAGCCTCTCCTGCACAGCTCTCACTGCAAATGTAAGCAGCCAAGTCGAGGAGTTCCGGTTCAAGGGTAGCGATTTGCTGGTGAACAACACATATTGTCAGATTGTAACCCTCTCCTTCACTGCAGTTACTTTGTTATCCTCTCTCACACACACACACACACACACAGCAACACCCACTCTGCACTCCAGCCCTCCCTCCCTCAAAAACAATTCCCAATAAAATATTACAAATGATTTGCTTAGCTTCAGTCTGCTAAACAATTGAATCGTTTCTACACATATGATGCAAATTACAGGAATTACATTACAAATAGTTTCACCCACAAATTATCCAGTCAATTATACTCTGCAGTTCGTTTATTCTTTGAGACGTCTCAATGACGTGATAAGACAATTGCAAGGAATATTATTGTAATAATAATAATGATAATAATCCTTGCATTTGATATGGCACCTTAACAGGTCTTCAAGACTTCTCAAAGCGCTTCACAGAATATACTGTAAAGTGAATTGATTGTATATTTGTGCTCGAAACGCAGCACCAATTGCGCACAGCAGCATCCCACAAACAGTTGTGGATTGAGTGACCAAATTATTATTATTATTTTCTTTGAAGGATTATTACCCCCCAAAAACTGATCTGCCAATCGGAGTACTTCAGGAAAAAGGTTCACCTCTTAACATTTTAGCCTCAACCAAAGAAATAAGACAAGAACATCTCAGCTCCTCTCGCTGGCCGGCCAAGAGAAGGAACAGCACAAATAATGGGATTGTGCAAACACTTGGTGTCATCTCACTCTCTCTCTCTCTTTCTCTTCTTCCACCCCCACCACCCATTGGCAACTATTGTGTACTGTCCTGAGATTCCTATTACAGACGTGATATCCAAGCATTGGAAAAAGTCTAAGCAGAAGCTGGGAATGATTGCATTGCAGAACAGACTATTGAGGGGGTTATCTTATGGTGGTCCTGGTGTCCTGGTTGACAATCCCCCAAATAAAATTGGTCATTCATTTCATGACTGTTTGTGGGACAGCAAATTGGCTGCATTCACCCACAAAATACACACTCACTCCACTTTATAGTATATCCTGTGAAGCACTTTAAAATCCCCTCCCAAAGGTAAAGGCGCTATAACAAGTTTTGTTTTGTATTCTGAATCATAAAATATAGACAGTTAGAATTAAATAGATTATTTCACTGTACTCCAGAAGTCCACTGTATGTGGTTACAATCACAAACTCAGAAGCGGAAGAGTGGCTGGAAAGTAATGTATAATCGCAGTATTTTACACAGAGAGCAGCTAACACTGTTCTGACGAAGGGTCATGGACCCGAAACATTGACTCACTTTCCTTTTTCCATGGATGCTGCCTGACCTGTTGAGTTTTCCCAGCTCTCTCTGTTTTTGTAGCTAACATGTTGTGCTGCTTCTACCACTTCCTGGTGGAGGCAGTGAGCATGGTCAGTTTCAAACAGGAAATGGGGGTATATGATATGTGAAAATAGCAATGCAGGAAGACATAGACAGAATGGTAAAATGGGCAGACACATGGCAGATGAATTTCAATGTGGAGAAATGCAAGATAATGCTTTTTGGAAGATAGAATGAGGGGAGGCAATATAGGATAGGTTATACAATCTTAAGGGGGGTAACAGAACAGAGTGACCTGGGAGCTCAGGTAAATTAATCCTTGAAGGTGGCAGGACAGGTAGATAAAGCTGTAAAAAAGGCATATGGGATACTAGGCTTTATAAATAGGAGCATAGAGTGCAAGAGTCAGGAGGTTATGATTGACCTAT